TGGCAGTCACACCGTGAATACTGGTCAAGCCAAAACCGTGAGTTACCAGGCCCTGCCACGATCAGGCTGACCATAGGTGGCATAATACGAAGTGAAAATGCACGCGGCTGGGACCATGTTAGTTTTGTTCAGGGCTCTGACCCCCTCATGCAGCCCATGCCTGCTCAGTAATTATTCCTCACATGAATAGGAGGAACAGAGTGTGCGTGGGGAACAGTTTGGCTTTACTTCTGAGATTCCCTCCCCGGATGGATGAGCTTGTCCTAAAGGTCTACTAGAATGATGGCTTGGGATGGATGGGTGAAAACCAATTGTCCTCATTGCTGTCCATTGGCTTCGAGACACTCTAGATGATATGCCCTGCTCAGTGGGGGAGTCTGCTTCTGCCCTCTCCTCTGCCCCTCCTGTGCCTCTCTCTTTCTCTCTCTCAAATAATTTTTTAAAAAAACCTCCCTTTTTATTTTTCAAAAGATTTTATTTATTTAACACAGAGAGAGAGCACAAGCAGGGGGAGCGGCAGAGGGAGAAGCAGGCTCCCTGTTGAGCAGGGAGCCCGACGCGGGGCTCGATCCCAGGACCCTGGGATCACAACCTAAGCCGAAGGCAGACGCCCAACCAACTGAGCCACCCAGATGCCCAAAAAACTCCTGTTTTAATTTGTACTTTCAAATTTTGTGATGTTGAAGCATCTTTGTAGACTTCTTTACCATTTTTATTTCACATCTTACTGGGTTTTTTTTCTAACAAATAAAAGGTGGGTTTTTTGTTTTGTTTTCCTTTTTTTTTTTTTTTTTTTAAAGAGATCTTTGTATTCTAAAGGAAATTATCTTTTGCCCTTCTCCCTGGTGGTTGGTGCTGAGAGTGAGGAGTGTGTGCTCTGGGCTCGGAATACACATTTATTATTTAAAAAAAAATCCAAAACAAAATCTAAAAAAACTTTTTAACGGAAATTATCTTTTATCTTTGATATAGACTGTGAATGTTTTCCCCAGTTTGTCTTTCTGACCATATAGAAGTTTTAATTTCACACCATAAATTTGCCAATCTTTTCTCTATAGTTTTTGGGTTTGTTTCATGTTTAAAAAGACCTTCTCCAGTTCAAGATTATGACAAAGTCTATCTGAGACTTCTTTGAGTTTTGTACAATTACCTTTTGCATTTAAACTTTCATTCTATCTGGAGTTAATTTTGGTGTAAGGAGGTAAGTGTACAGCTTTATCTTCCCCCTAAAAGACAGATGTCCCAAATGACATTTATTAAGTAATCCACATGTCCCCCACTGATTTCAAATGCTACTTATATCACATGTGAATTCACATATGTATTTGGGTCTATTTCTGACTTTCCTATCTGTTTTTTATCTGTCTACTCCTGCATTATTACCGCATGGGTTATTATACTTTATAGTCTAAAAATCTGTTAGAGCTAATTTGCCCTCATTACTTTTACTTTCCAGAGATTTCCTGGATATTCTTTTTTTTTCTAAACAGCTTTATTGAGATATAATTCACACAGCATGCAATTCCCTTTAAAGCATCCAATGCAACAGATTTAGTATATTCAGAGTGCAACCATCATCACAGTCAATTTTAAAACATTTTCATCACCTCAAAAATAAACCTCATACCCTTTAGCTTAGTTCCCTTATTCCCTGGCTCCTCCCGCCCTAAGCAGCCATTAATCTACTTTCTGTCTCTATAGATTTTCCTATTCTTGATGTTTCATAATAAATGGGATTATAGAATGTGTAGTCTTTTGTGACTGGTTGATTTTACTTAGCGTAATGTTTTCAAGGTTCATCCATGTTGTGGCATGCATTAGTACTTTATTCCTTTTTTATGGCCGAATAATATTCCATCTCATGGCCATACCTCATTTTGTTTATCCATTCATCAGTGGACATTTGGGTTGTTTCCGCCTGGTAGCTACTGAGAATAATACCGCTATGAACATTCTCGTGTTAAGTGTTTGTGGTGAATGTATGTATTCAATTCTTTAGTGTATGTCTTAGCAGTGAAATTACTCATACAGTAATTCTGTTTAACTTACTGAGAAAACTCCAAATCATTTCCCACAGCAGCTGCACCATTCTGCATTTCTACCAGCAATGCACGAGAGTTCCAATTTCTCCACATCCTGGCCAAGACTTGTTATTTCCTGTTTTAGGGTTTTTGGTTTTGTTTTGTTTTGTTGGGTTTTGTTTTTGTTTTAATTCTAGCCAGTCTAGTGAGTGTGAGTGTGAAGTGATTATCTCATTGTAGTTTCATTTGTATTTCTCTGATGACAAATGATGGTGAGCAACTTTTTATGGGCTTATTGGCCATTTGTATATCTTCTTTGGAGAAAAATGCATATTCAAGTTCTTTTGCTCATTTAAAAAAAATTGGGTTGTCTTTTTGTTATTGAGTTGTAAGAGTTCTATATTTTCCTGACTACTCTTTTATTTTTTTAAGTAATCTCTACACCCACAGTGGGGCTTGAACTCACAACCCCCAAAGATAAAGATTTGCATACTCCACCAACTGAGCCAGCTAGGTGTCCCCTGACTACTCTTACATCTGCATTTTTCCATTTGAATTTCAGCATTGCCTCATCAAAAATGGCTAGCAACTTTTATGTGGCTTACCAGCAAACAAACAAATGAAAAAACAAATGTTTGGCCTGAATCCAGGTCAGATAGACTCTCTCCAAAGTAGATGAAATTCTCCTCAAAGCATCTCTCATTTAAATGACCCAAAAAGATGTGTCCGGGTATATTGTGAAGTTGATTTAAACCCTTTTTTCGGGTCCCTGGGTGGCTCAATTAGTTAAGTGTCTGCCTTTGGCTCAGGTCATGACCCCGGGGTCCTGGGATACGTCGTTGGGCTCCTTGCTCATTGGGGAGCCTGCTTCTCCCTCTCCTGCTCCCCTTGCCTGTGCTCTCTCTTCCTGTCAAATAAATAAATAAAATCTTAAAAAAACAAACAAACCCTACTTGTGTGCATACAGCAGGAATGGGTTTTAGCACAGTGTTTTCGCCTAGGCTTGTGATGATGGTGTGTGGATGGGAGTTGTTAATTACTCTCTGGCCTAATTTACTTTGGTGTAGTGCTGACTCAGAGATTAAGGCTGGAGCGGCTCTTTCCAAGATCAACATCCCCAACTGGCCTGAGGTGATTGTTGCTTGATCCCAGGGACTCTTAGCCCTCCCGGGGTTCAGAACCTAACCCAAAATACACTCATAGCCTGACTCACAGCCACAGATAGGAGTGGTTGCTGGGCTTCATTAGGGAGCAGTGTGGTTTCTGCACTCTTCAGTCCTTGGGGGGCATCTGAGAGGGAATCAAGCTTTCCTTATGGCCCTTGTTCAGTCCTTGGGGTATCTGAAAGAGAAGTAAGCACTTCTTAGATCAATATTTTCAAGGCTGATCTGATCCAAGCCTCTGCATGGAGGCTTCGACTGAGGATCCACCGTTTTTCCAGCTTTTCTCTCTCCAGGGTGGCTATGAACTTGTATTCCTGTAATAAATGGCTTATATATTTTTCCCCCTAGGAAATTTGTGTGAATGTGTGATTATGATGCAGGAAGAAGGGATAATGATAGATTTAAAACTGGACACCTGTGGTGCCTGTTCCTTTACAACTGAGTTTCTCCACACTTTCTTCATTATGGTCCTCACATAAGGAGTGTTTTTAGACTGTTTTTCCTAATCATGGAATTTTAATACTACAGATATACTATATGCTATTTATGCACTATATGCATATCTGTGTTTTATACATAAGAATAGGATTTTTTGCCCCCTTGGGGGATATGTCTCCCACTTAGGATATGTGCTTCTCAATAGTTCACAACCACCCCCTTGGCAGCCTCCACTATGTAAAACGGGGAAGCAGGCAGCTTTGAGGAGTGTGAGCTAATCATGTACATTGTGTTTCACAAAGTGCTTGGTGCATGGTGAGTGCGAAATGAGAGCCCTTGTTGTTGCCGTTATTATTATGTTAAGCTTGGCAACAGTGATGTTTGTAACCCCCTCTCAGACTGTGGGTTCCCACGGTGCTTGAGGGCTGGCCAGAGGTCCAAGGCCTTCCAACCTGGAGCTTCTACTGGAGGCCCCACCAGGTACATAAGGAAGGGAACTGAGCTGGGTGGGGACTGGGGCCAGTGGACAGGCGGCGATGCCCTATTTACACGTGACACCTGTCCCCCAGGTGTGCCAGGCACGCACGGGGGTCTGGTGGCATCTGAACTTTCTATTTCTCAGAAGCTGAGGACTGGATTTCTCGTTATATCTCCTGATTTTTAAGCACTGACTCAATTAAACCCCAACAATTACACTATGTGGAGGAAACAAAAGAGATGAAGCCAAATCATACCGACTTGTCCAGGGTTAATCGCATAGCTGGGATTCCAATCCATTTCTTTCCAAATCCAGTGATCCCTCCACTCAACCCAGCCTCCCCTCTACCGCTCACGACCCTCCCCACTCCACCCTTCTTGGGGGTGTCCTTCAACGCCTCTCCTTCCGCACCCTCCTGCCTGGGGAAGGGGCCCCAGGCTGGGCCATTCGGGGATTGGGACAAAGGGGTCCAGCTCCCCTGCCTACCACCCGTCCCCCTTCCCAGAAGGATGTAGATTCCGTCTCTGGACGATAAGGTCAGGACCCCAGCCTTACTCACCGGGAGCCGGGAGCGGGGACCCCGCCGGGGAGGGGGGGGGACGTGGGTCGGTTGTCCCGCGGCGTGAGAACGCAGGGCGGGCGGGCGTAGGGCAGGCGGGGCGCAGGCGACCTCACCATCTCGGGATGAAACGCCCAGTTGTTCGCGCCGCCCCTCTGACCCCGCCACCCTGGGCATTGTTCTCTGTTCGCCCGGGTCGCGGGTGGGAGGCGAGGCACGCAGGGGTTCCCGAGTCTGGCTCGGCACCAGGACTGCGGCCTTCGGCCCTGGGGCCACTGGGGCGGCCGCGCCCCGGAGCAGGAGGAGAGCACGCGGGGCCGGGCGGCTCAACCGGTGCAGCCATGGGCTCCCGCGGCTCCCACGCCGCGCGCATTCCCGACGGGGACAGCATCCGGCGGGAGACGGGCTGTGAGCGGGGCGCGGGGCTCGGACCCGGGCACGCGGGGGTTCCGGAGCGGGGCTGGCTCCAGGGAGCGCCCCGCGTGCGGGGCGCGGGAACCGGGGCTCCCGGCGTCCAGGTCCGGTGGAGCCGGGAAGCCAGGTGTCCTCGAGCCCGGCAGAGGGGTGGGTGAGAGGGGGGAGGGGCGGGCTGGCCCTGGTGGTTCGGTCCACCCCGCGGGAGCGCGTCGTCACGCCCCCTGCAGCCCCGCCGCAAGGGCCTCAGGTCCCCGGCGGGCGTCCCCTCCAGCGGGCTCCTGTCCCCCGCCCGCGGCCCGGGGTCGCCCGGGGAGGGTCCTGCCGCGCGTCCCCCGCGCCCGCGGCCGTGTCACCCTTCCGCCTTCCGTCCCGCAGTCTCGCAGGCCAGTCTGCTCCGCCTCTACCACCGGTTTCGGGCACTGGACAGGAACAAGAAGGGCTACCTGAGGTGAGGGGGCGCTGGCTTCAGGACCTGCCCCCTGTCTCTCTGGGCCCATTCCCCTCTTTAACTAACCCTCCGTCTCCCGTCTTTGCCCTACCTACCCCCTTTTGAACTTTGACCTGGCAGCCGCATGGATCTGCAGCAGATTGGGGCGCTGGCCGTGAACCCCCTGGGAGAGCGCATTATAGACAGCTTCTTCCCTGACGGGTGAGGCCCCCCCGGGGGTTGGGGCTTGGGGGAGAGTTAGGCACAGAGGCAGAGGGTGACCACTGTCTTTGCTCCCTTGCCCCCAGGAACCTGCGAGTGGATTTCCCAGGCTTTGTCAGAATCCTGGCTCATTTTCGACCTGTGGATGATGAGGACCCAGGCATGCGAGACCCCAGGGAACCTGAACCCCTCAACAGCAGAATGAACAAACTTCGCTGTGAGTTTGTGAGGACCCCCTCCCCAAGTGAGACCCTAGATATACCACACCAGGGAGAGGCTCCAGGCACCTCCCTCTCTTCGGGAGCATCTAGATGACCTCCCCCACACCTTCAGGGGGACCTTCTGCTGGAAGAGAACCAGAGAAATCCCACCTTCCCTTCCCCCGCCAATTCTCTTCCAGTCGCATTTCAGCTCTATGACCTGGATCGAGATGGAAAGATCTCCAGGCATGAGATGCTACAGGTTAGAAGAATGCAAGGACAAGAGATGTGATGTGTGAAGTGTGGTGGTTGAAGGGAAAGGCTGTGGGCGGATGGGCCGGATGACTGGCCAATGAGGGTGCAGAGCACTGGGGTATTAAGCGGACCCCGCCTGGGTGGGGTTTAGTTGGGAAATGGAATGGGGAAGAGTTGCGTGTGAGGTTGGAAATAGATCTTAACTTCTTAACTGGGAGTGATTTCGCCTCCTGAATGCCACTGGCGATATCTAGAGACATTTTTGGGTTTTGCAGCTGGGGGACGGGGCAGTACTACCAGCATCTGGTGGGTAGAAGTCGAAAATGCTGCTAAACATCTTTCAACACACGGGATAGCCCCCTTTCCTCCCCCAAAGAGTTACCTGGCCCCAAATGTCAAGAGTGCTGAGATTCAGAAACTCTGCAAGAGATATGATGAAGTGGGGGGGGGGTGGAGGATGGAGGGAGGTTGGGTTATAAGATTTGGGGTTGGGTAATGAGTTTGGGCATATTGTTGAGGTGAGTGTGAAGAGAGACAGATGGGGGTTCGAATGGAGAAGTAGTGGCGGAAATTATTGGGGGAATATGGTGGGGAGTGAAAAAAAATGGATAAGGGAGAGATTACAAAATGGGTAATACCATTTGGGATGATGTGGGCAAGGTTTTGGGGATGGGGCTAGTGCCTCCTCTTTATGGCTGTCCCCCTCCATGCCTCCCAGGTCCTCCGGCTGATGGTTGGGGTGCAGGTGACAGAAGAGCAGTTGGAGAGCATCGCGGACCGCACGGTGCAGGAGGCGGATGAAGATGGGGATGGGGCCGTGTCCTTCCTGGAGTTCACCAAGGTCAGAATGCCCTTAGGCCTGGGGAGTTGACATCAGGAGTCCCTAGGACAGATGGACATGAGAAAGGAAGTTGGAAGGAGGTGGGCAGAAGGATCCGGGTCGCCAAGGAAAGGTGGGGCTTTGGGGATGGGAGAGGTGGTTGGAAGCCCAGAGGATTGAACTCTTGACTACCTCCCATCTCCCCCCACCAGTCCCTAGAGAAGATGGACATCGAGCAGAAAATGAGCATCCGGATCCTGAAGTGACCCCCTTTGCGCCTCTGACTAGCTTACACAGACCAGTTCAGCCTGGGATTTATCTTCAGCCACCCAAGGGGCAGGGCCCCCATAAACTGTATTTTTGTGTCTATGCTAAATTCTATTTAGGACCAAGGAGAGAAAGCCAGAAGGGCGTGTACTAAATAAAGTCTAGTTCATTTGATCTCAGATTTGTCAATCAGCCAGCAATCTTCTGGTTGCGAGCGACTGAAAACCCAACTTATAGCGCCTTGGGTAAAAAAGGAATTTAATGGGGTCATGAATTAAAAAGTTTGAAAGTGTCATTAGAATGCTGGAAAAGTCTGGAAGTGTCCTCAGGCACAGTTAGATTCAAAGTGCTCACATAATGCTATCAGGACTCAGTGATTCATTTCTCAATCGGCTTTCTTTTGTGTCGGCTTTATTCTCAGGAGGGCTCTTTCCCCATGGTGGAGGATGGCCACCAGAAGCTCCAGGCTTCCATCCTACTAGCCTAGTAATCCAGTGGGAAGGGATTTCCTTTTTCAGTCATTCCAAGCTAAGCGTGTCATTGGCCTGAGTGGGTTCTTGTCCCTAGCTCCAGGGAATGGAGTGCTCTAACTGACCCAGCCTGTGTCCTGTGCTAACTGCTAAAGCCTGAGCACTCAGGGTAGGGTAAGGAGTAGCTGTTTACAGGAAAATGAAGTGTCATTATCAGAAAAAAGGGGAATGATGCCAGTTGGGCAAAATAAGAGATATCCATTACTGTTAGGTTGACCCAACTGGGGGGGGGGGATTCTTGAAATCTGACTTTTCAAATGGGTTTTCACCGATTCTGTGGGTGCATGCCAGGGGGATGGGGGTGGGCAGGTGGGGGCACAGATGACATAAAAGTAATAAACAAGACATACTTTCCCAGGGCATGACATTATTCAAAGATTTGGAGAATAATTCCATTTTTTCACGGTAAGATGTTCAAACATTGCTATATCACAGAATAGAGGGTAAAAGTCACATAAAATTGTGAGATCCTATGTCTACAGCAAAATGCTCTGGCTGTGCCTATAGGAGATGCTACTGGTGCCCTGCCCATTATCTCCTCCCAGCGCTGTGCTGGAGCTGTCTTATGTCAACACATGAGAGTCAAGCATGCTTCTGGCTTCCATCTGTGTTTTCAGTGATGTCACATTGGTAGCTTGGGTTGGCTGTGGCGGGGATATTTACACCAAGGACATTGACAAATGCAATAGACCAGGGCTTTTCTGCTTAGGAGAGCCTGTTGTTAAACATTTAGCAGCACACCACCTGCTCAGCATTCACCATTCCTGTATGTGTTGGTGGCTTCCATTTTACCCCAGCTTTATTGTATCGTAATTGGTGTGCAAAGAACTGCACATAATTGATGTATACAATGTGATGAGTTTGGACATAGGTATACACTCATGTTACCATCACCATAATCAAGTAATAAACATCCATCATCTCCAAAATTTTCCTTGTATCACTCTGGTATTTGTGTGTGTGTGTGTGTGTGTATGTGTGTGTTTAGAACACTTAACATGAGATCTACTAGCTTAACAGAATTTTTTAAGGATTTTATTTATTTATTTGAGAGAGAGAGAGAATGGGAGGGGGGAGGGGCAAAGGGAGAGGGAGAAGCAGACTCCCCGCTGAGCACGGAGCCCAACGCGGGGCTTGATTCAGGACCCCGAGATCACAACCTGAGCTGAGGGCAGATGCCTAACCGACTGAGCCACCCAGGCGCCCCTAGCTTAACACATTTTAAGTGTACAACACCAAATTGTTAACTATAGGCACAATGCTGTACAGAAGATCTCTGGAACTTACTCATCTTGGATAACGGTTTATACCCATTGAACAATAGCTTCCCTTATCGCCCCCCCTCTTGCCAAAGACCGTTCTATGGTCTACTTCTATGCATTTGACTCTTTTAGGTGCCTCACATAAGAGGAATCATGCAATATTCGTCTTTCTGTGACTGACATGTTTCCTGATGGTATTTTATATCTGATGAAAGTTTAGACCTCAAATTAAAAAAAAGGGGGCATACCTGGTTGCCTCTCTTGGTAGAGCATGTGATTCTTGATCTCAAGATCATGAGTTCAAACCCCATGTTGAGCATAGAGATTATTTAAAAAAAAAGGTTCAGACTCTTTGGCCCCATTTCAGAGCTCCTGAGTCTACAGGGAAATCTATATTTTTAGTACATGATTCTGATGTTGGAGGTTGAAGGACTAGACTTTTAGAAACACTTACCAAAAGCTTCTGGCCAGACCCCTAGTGACAGCTCTCCATAAGAAGTTCTCCAACAGGGTGCCTGGGTAGCTCAGATGGTTAAGCGTCTGCCTTCGGCTCAGGTCATGATCCCAGGGTCCTGGGATCGAGTCCCGCATCGGGCTCCCTACTCCTTGGGAGCCTGCTTCTCCCTCTGCCTCTCTCTCTCTCTCTCTCGTCTCTCATGAATAAACAAATAAAATCTTAAAAAAAAAAAAAAAAAAGAAGAAGTTCTCCAACATACATAAAACACCGAGCAGTCCCTTGGCCTACAGGCTCTTGGGAGGACCTCCCAGCCATTCCCGCCCACACCCACTCTGTGTATCAATGGTCATTGCTACTGGATCCTCCAGTACCAGGGGATCCCTAAGACTCTACTCCCTATTCTGGTGGATGGAGGAGCAAACTGTCGCCCGCCCCCCCCAAGCCCCATTAGCAGGAAAGCCCCCTGATCCAGCCCAAGCTCAGGAGGTTGGAGACTTGTCATGCAGGAGGGAGGGGCATCAGTCTGGCTGGGGTAGCAGAAGCTGTGTGTCCCTTACCCTCTCAATAGCGACTCTGACAGCGTCGCCTGTGGATACGTTCATTGAAGTGGGGGGGAGCGTGGTGACACCTGTGGGGAGCCCCTGTGCTGTGAGCAGCTGTTGCTGAATTGAAGTGATTTGCTTACCATCCTCAGTCTTGCCACAGCACCTAGGCTCTGGGTCATTATTCCCTCATTATTTGCCTATAAACAGACTCATTTAAAGTGGATATATTTGAGCTTATAAAGGAAACTGAATATCACCACTGTAAATTAGAAACCAGCACCAATTGCCATAAATAACTGTACAAAAGCAGTACAAAGAACACCCCCCCCCAAAAAGTGTCAAAAAGGGAGACTAGCAAGTGTCAAGGAGTTGTAAAAACAAATCTGCACCAAACAGAGCTTCTCTTTGGTGACCTGAAGGACGGAGGAAGAATTGAAGGAAATGACCTTTGCATTGCGTGATTCAAGGATGTTATTTAAAGCAAAGAGGTTACTGGGCGCCTGGGTGGCTCAGTTGGTTAAGCGACTGCCTTCGGCTCAGGTCATGATCCTGGAGTCCCAGGATCGAGTCCCACATCAGGCTCCCTGCTCAGCAGGGGGTCTGCTCCTCCCTCTGACCCTCTTCCCTCTCATGCTCTCTGTCTCTCATTCTCTCTCTCTCAAATAAATAAATAAAATCTTTAAAAAAAAAAAATAAAGCAAAGAGGTTACTACCAGACATCATCCTGTGTACATGAGTTGTGTGTTCCCTACACTGTGGGAACCCCCGGCTGAAGGGCACTATGACCAAGAAGTCCTGGGAAGAGCTTGCCTCCTGCCGGGACAGATTGGAGGCAGCCAACAGTGAGCTAGATACCCTGGTCCTCAGGCTGGCTGCTGGTCAGATTGGGTTTGGTAAGAGGTTGGCCATGGAAATGGAGTCAACTCACAGGTGAAATGCAGGGAAAAGTAGCAGGGCGTTATGATGGATGATTCATAGAGCTGGAGATGTTACGAGCAACAGCTTTCTGCTGGCAGAGTCCTCAGGGAGGGGCTGGAGGCAGCTCTAGGCTTGTGCTTGGGATCCTCACTTGAGGGGTGTGGGGCAGGCACTGGACCTGTCCCAGCTGATGCCACCAGGGATACTTTGAAGGGGTTTAGCTGACCTGGAATTTTCCGGACCCATGTACCATCTACATATCCTGAAGAAAAGATGGGAGTTCCTGAGGGAGCTCCTTTCCTCGCCAAGGTAACTGAACGGGACACGGTGTGTAGGGAGCCCTGGGAAGGGAAGCAAGTAAGAGGACCTAGGTAGTCATGTTGGATAGATCTAATTATGGCTACCATTGCCTTTTCTTAACTGATCAGGAAGACAGTTAAGAAAAGAATCTTGAATGTGACTCAAATACAAGGAAACTCTGGGTTGTCCTCAGCCCCACCCAGCCAACACCAATAAAACTCTCTTGATGTCTGAGAGGCAATATACGGGCTTGGTTTCTGGTTAGAGACCTACCCTGCAAATCAGTGTGGCTCAGTAGGAATGACTTGAGTTTTGGAGTTTTATTAGGTCTGCGATTGAATCTGTGCCCTTCTAATTAATTACTCACTGTACGACCTTGGGTAAGTCGCTTTGCCCTTCAGTGCCTCTGTTATCTATGAGACAGATGCGAGCAGCCACCTCGTGGAGTTGTCACATCTTGTCCTTCCATAGCTTGCTGCCCTCCCCAGCACCCTCCCCTCCAAACCCTGCTTTACTTCAGCTGAGGCCCTTTGGCCCCGTATATAAAGTAGGACTCTGGTCTGTATCAGTCAGGATTCTTCGCATTGTTAACCGGTTTATGAAAGAATAGGAATTTATTGGTTCACATAACTGAAAGAAAAGTCCAAAGGTAGATAGACCAGACAAAGGAGAGTCTCAAAAGCTCAATAATACCATCAGAAATTAGTCTTTCCATTCCTCAACTCTGCTTTCCTCGGTGTTGTTTTAATTTCTAAGCGGCAATCCCAATGAAGAGAGAGCCTCTCTTCCCTGACAGTTCGGCCCAATGTCCCAGAAGAGATCCTCAGCTTACTCACTATAGCCAGGTGGATGGGCCACTCTGATTCGCCAGACCTGGTCATGTGCTCACCCCAGGAACTGGAGAGTGCAATCTCACCTGGACCAAATGCAGTGTGTGTGTGTGTGTGTGTGTGTGTGTGTGTGTGTGTGTGTGTGTTGTAGTCTGTCGATCCCCTAAAGGAAAATCAGAATGCAGTTACGAAATCAACAAAAAGTTATATATGAGTTGGGTTTTGGGGGCTACAAATAACAGAATTCCCAACTAACAGTGCCTTAAACAACTAAGACAATTCTCTCACATTATAAGATGTTTTTGGTGGTAGACAGTCCTAGATTGTTGAGGGGTTCAACAATTTTATCAAGGATCCAAGATCTTTTATCCTTTCATTCCTCAGTATATTGGCTTTTACTTCTCCAGTTTGTTGCCTC